ATATAAAGACAGCAAAGTTACATAGGAAAAACTCACAAAGATTTGTTTGCTATAAGCAATGAAACAGAATAAGCTCGAAGGCGTTACAGCAAGCATAGAGTAGGGCTTATTGGAGAGGCAGGACCAGCGGGCCACATCCTGGGTCTCACTGTGCTGTCTTTGGCAAAGACTTGGATAAATTCCTCAGCTCCAGGAACTTCACCCAGACAATGAGTTGGTTGGATTAGAATACTTTGTTTTTGTTTCGTTTTTTCCCCTCTTCCTCTTTTCTGCCCAACCATTCTACTTTCCAGTTTAGTGCCTCGTTTATGAAACCTCAGGAGCACTGGTGGTGTAGTGGTTGTGTGTTGGGCTGCGACCGGAAAGGTCAGCAGTTTGAAACCATCAGCTGTTCTGCAGGAGAAAGATGAAGCTTTCTACCCCTCTAAAGATTTGCAGGCTCCGAAAACCACACTACAGCCTCTCCTCTGGCCTACAGGGTACCTACGAGTCAGAATCGACCCAAGAGCAGGCAGCTTAGACATTCAAGTCAGAAATTTGGCTGTTGAAGAGGCTCTTTCCTGTAGGGCTGGCTTGGCCACTTTCTTCCCGTGCGTGCCTCCTCTTTTGAAAGACACCATTCAAAAATGATTGGGCTTCATCAGCAACAAATGATTAACAATACTTACATAGAACTCAAAGGGAGAATGCACCCAGTACGATATTCCTAACTGGACACTTTTGACCTAGTTTCTGTCCAGCCCGCGGTGACCCAGGCTGTGCGCCATAGACCACTGGAATTTTCGACTGCCCCTTCGAGGTGCCCAACATAAGTCCTAGGTCACACCAGAAGGATTCTATGTGGAAAACGTGCTAAGTGAACTGGGCTTTCCCTCAAACTCACCTCTAGCAGATGTAAGGAATTGACATTTAAGCTGCAAAGCCCTAGCGTGAGAAGAATCAGTTGATGGCTGTCCTACATGTACGGGCTTGTTGGTTGTAGGACTTGGATTGGAATCTCTTGCTTTGAGGGTGCTCAATGAATGGTGGCCCGGAGCTACCATATATTTACTATTTTCGTGCTC